TAATATAAGTTTAACATAACAGCAAATGTACAAGGTTTTGTACCTGATGATGACAAAACCTTCTCGAAACGTTGTCCATTTGCTGTTATGTTAAACTTATATTAAAGTTTTTCTTCATTACCCATTCAAGCCGTCTCCAGGCATTATTAATATGAACTGTGTTAAAGCAATGAGAAATACAGTTATTTTTTGTTCTACGATCTGTTACCCTTATAATATACTTGAGAGACACTTATTAACTATAATATATCATTTACAAATTGATATATTGAAAGAAAGCTCCCTCCTTAAAAAAAAATATCCTGGTCGTATGCCTCCATCCAACCACTCCAGTGTCTTTTTACCGTATCGTTGACCACATGAAATTTTTATATATTTTGTTCTTATTTGAATTCCAAACATTAAAAAAGATAACCGTTAGTTTTTATTTGTGTTTTGTTCTAAGTATACTTAATAAAACTACTTTACAATATGAACGTTAATTACATATCAGAGGAGGAAATGTACATGTATATGGTTTCACCATAACTTTTAAATAAATATATTAAAGAAAATCATTTTCATTTGTAAATATAATTAGATGGCGCTGTGTGTTATCTATGTTTTCTGACAGAAAATCGATTGTCGCTAGAAAGTATAATCACTACCAAAAATGTTAGAATTAACTTTATATAAAATGTTAGTGTTTTCTGTTACATTAGCTAGGAAAATTTTTAAATGAATTGGTGCTATGAATTTTAAATGACTTCTTCCAGTTTCAGACCATTAGTGCCAGTGGTATTACATTCACAATGACAAAGGACCGGCTTGCTGCCTTGAAAGCGGTATACTACTACTATTACTAGTGTTAAAACTTCTATTAGTATTTCTGGCCTGTTTATACTTTTCATTTCCAAATGTTAAAAAGTGGCCGTTGGCCCAGCTAGGTTATCCCATTTTCTACTAGTACTACGACCTTATTCTCAATGTTGCAGCTTCTAGTTCTAAGTTCTACCATTCTGAACGTAGGCAATCTATTCCAGTTGCCTATCAATCGTTTGCTATTACAATAAATAATAGACAAGTAACACAATAAAACTAATAATGTAAGTAATGGGCATGTTTCATAAGTTGGTTTACTTATAAATTTGACTAACCTTTCCAACAACACACAGTCATAGCTTTGTTAATTTTAGACATTAAATGTAAAAACTCATGACTCCTATGAATAATGAGGTATCATGTCATTTAAAAGGTAATTACTCTACCATTTAAGGATAAATCCCTAAATAATGGTTAAAAACTAAATTTCCCGACTTAGGTATTTTTAAACCCAAAATTTATGATTTTTTATAAGAGTGTGTATATATATATGTTGGCAATTTTTACTTGTCACACCTCATTTTTGATTTGATGTATCCTATTTTCATGACTCCTCTATCAACATAAATGTAATGTTGTATTACATATAGTTTTTTTGCTCATGTGTACAGGTAATCACATTCATGCAGGTGTTATAAAGAAACTATGTTAAGTCTGTTCTCTAATTTGGTTAGACCACAGTGTGACACTCCTCATTTTGGGAATGTCAGTTCTACCTTGGTTTTATCTTGATGAAGTGTACTTCAGGGTTAAATTTCCATGGTAATCCTGAATGCTTATTTCATAAGCTTTATGGCACAATAAAGTCCTAATTTTGTCAGACCACCAGGTAATAGATCAAACTTGTAAAGTGATTGTTCACATTCATAACTTCTAAGTATACACCTGGAAAAAAGTTAAGCACCCCCGTGTTTTTTTCAAGTGATTCAGATTCGACGTTCTTGTGACTGATTATAAATTACCATTCAATCTAAACGT